TTTGAGAATCTTAAATAAAACGATGTGTTTGAGTTTCATAAGCTAGCCAATATCGATGAAATAAAGATTCTCGTTTGATTTCACAAACCCACTAATGTCGACGAACAGAGAGGAAGATAAAACATGTAACCGTTCGTACTCAAATTTAAAACTCTAGACAATTATCAATCAACAATGATTTAAAAGAAATAGGAGGAAGATAAACAAGACAAGAACATCATGATAAGATTTCTCTTAAGAATACTTTTATCTTGTTTTCTTTAGAATAGCCTTTACTTTTTTGCAAGTAGATTGATAATGTTTATCTTGCTTTCTAGTAACTTAGAATTTTCAATTTCAAGTATTATCAAATGGCTTTAAAACCATCTAAGACTCGTTGATGTAAGTATTGTATCTTCTAATTTATAATATTTCTATCTCGGTTTGTCTCATCGAATGTTTGTTTCTTCCGATTAACAATATCCCTTTTTATTTTCATTTTTATCACTCATATCGAATTACTATGTAAAAGTCCTAGAGGCTTACTAGGCAGCATTGACCCTTTTGTTATTTTCTCGCAAAATATTTGGCTACAAATTAAAGTATTGATTTACTCCACATTTAAGACCAAATTCAATGAGAAACAACAATCCTACATAAAATGTTGTAACAATTCTAGGTGAATGTTGAGCCGAAAATCCAGAACCATAGCCAATCTTGGACCTAAATCCAGGCCCTAAATCACATATCAAAAAGAACATATGATGTATAAAGCAATAAAAAATTAAATATAATTAGTGTGGCCTGTACAGAAAACGTAAAATGTTTCTCATGTAGCATAACTTCTTTGTACCAAAATGAAAAAAATAAAAATAAAAAACAAAAACAAACCAACTTGTGACGTTGTCTATTTTAACATCAACTATTTGTCCTTGGTTTTCAAAAAAAGTGTGATAATTTCCAAATGTTACAAAGTAATTATCATCAAAACAAGCTTCTCTATCCTTAGTTTTATGCTTTGCAATACCAAGGAGAAAGAAAAATATTACTATAACTTCAAGAACATCAAAACCCATATTTCCTTAAGTTTGTGTACGTTAATGTTTCCTTGGGTGTTTATATATATATATATATATATATATCTCTTCATTTAATTAATTATTTCCTCGAATTTAGAGATAATACTTATCTGTTTATGCAAATGACATGTAGCTGTTCACGAATGGATCCAAAAGGTCTCTAATGCATTTGAAGAAGATGATAAAACAATATGAGGAGCGTTTAGGCCAGCTGTTGAATGTGAATAAGAGTGGGTTTTGTACTCTAAAGCATATGTTAGCTCAGAAAATAGGTGCTATTAAGAGTTGGACAAGTTGTTGTCATTTCCAATTTCTCATGACATATTTGGGAGTACCTTTGTCTGTTGGTAGAATTAGACAGAGTTATTTTCATCCATCAGAATTGAAGATCAATAGCAGATTTGGAGGATGGAAATCAAAATTGCTATTTTTTGGGGACAGATTGACGTTATTAAAATCAATTATCAGCATCATCTCAATTCATGTTATGGCGACAATACCTGTGCCTAAGGGCATTATTCGACATATAGAAAGCAGGATAGCTAATTTTCTATGGAGTTCTGGGGGAGACGATTGGCACCATTGGGTTTTATGGAGTCAGATTTGTAAACTTTTGAGTGAAGGTGGTTTGGGGATTAGAAGCTTGGATGAGGTAGTGGACGCTTCACAGGCAAAATTGGCTTGGTCTTACATACTAGGTTCTAGCCTATGGGCGAGGTATTTACATGGGAGGTAGGGTGATGAGGGGTGGATTTCTACAGTTTCCTCACATATTTGAAGAGCAATAGTACACCATTTACCGACTTTAAAGTCCTGCAGCCAATGAATTCTTGGTAGAGGCATAATTTCATTATGGAGTGACAAATGGTGTGGTGGCGTATTAGAGTCTCCTCTTCCTATTGATAAATGTTTGACGGTTAGATAGGCATTTTTGGAATTGGAGGAGTTCTAGAGTGTTATACCAAATCGATTTCATAATGAGGTTAGACATATTTGTTTTGATGGTAATATTGATGACAATTTGATGTGTACTTTTAAGTAAGACAGCCTTCGAAACAAAAGCATATTGGAATCACTATCAAATTTCTTCTTCTACTTGGCTATGGGCTTAATACTTTTATTCCTCCATGGGTTGGTGATTTCATGTGGAAGTGGTTTAAAGGGGCTATTCCTATAGATCCAAGAATAAAGGATTTTCAAATTCCTTTAGTGTCAAGCTGCCAGTGTTGTACACGCCATATGGAGGAGACAATGGTGCATCTATTTTTACATTCTTAGACTGCTGCTGAGATTTTGAGGTATTTTGATAATATTTTTAGCATTCATAATTTCAGTATGTCTTTATGTCTTTGAATGAGTGTTCTAGTAGTTGCTTTAGTTCGATATCTACTTAAATTGGCTTGTGTTAGATTGATACTTTTTGTTTTGTCATTTGGGAAATTTAAAAGAATAGATGTAAAATTAACTATGAAGACATTATCGGGGACATTATTCGGGGTGTTAGAGTGGATTTGACTGACATGTTTATGTTGTTTAAGCCAAAAAAATCTCTAAATCTTATTGGATTACGAAAATTATAGGAACTAGGTATTGTACCGATTCAGCCGAAAATGCTAAGGGGGATGTGGTTAAAATGGAAACCCCCAAACAATGGATGCTATAAATTGAATTTGGATGGTTCAACTAAGGATGGATTGTGTGTAGGAGGAGGTGTAATCCGAGATACTACGATGGCTTTATAGCTAGTTTTGCAAAATACTATGGGGAAGGGACTAATACCAAGGCAGAGGTTTTGACATTTTGGGATGGTTTACTGCTTGCAAATCTCTAAATTTGGTATAGAGCAGTATTGAATCTGACTCGCTGATGGTGATTAACACAATAATGGGTTTGAATAAGGTACCTTGGTCATACACTTATGTTTTTAGGGAATGTCAAAAGTTTTGTGTAGTCATAGTATTACCCATGCTTTGGAGGGAGCAAAATATGGTGATAGATAGAATGACAAGTATAGATTGTAGTTTTAATCTATTTAATTTCAGATCTGCCTTTAGAGGTAAAATTAGCTAGCAGATAGGATGACATGGGTTTGTATAATTACAGGACATAATCCTGATTGTTTCTTCAGGGGTTAGGCTTCCTTATCCTCCTATCATGTTTGGGTACGATTGGATTGTCCCCCTTTGTATTCTTATCTTTTTTAATTAATAAAATTACCAGGTATAGTCCTTGTTCAAAAAAAAAAAAAAAAGAACTTATCTGTTTAATTAATTAGCATCAATTCTCGAACATTTATGGTAGGTCCACTTTAAAAGGACATTTATTCAAGAAGCAAATTATAAATTAGTCCCTTTAGTTTCAAGAAATGAATTAATTAACCTCTTTGTTTTAAAAATTATTATTTAATCCTTTGACCGTTATTGATCATATATACTTAATTTAATATTATTTTATTTCATAAATATCTTCTTTTCTCGTTCATCTTTCCATATTTTTTCATAATTTTTTTCCTTTTCTATTTCTTAAAACAAAAAACTCTAAACAAATTAAAAAGAAACAAAAAAATTAAATTACAAGTAGATTTAAAAATAAAAGGACTAAATGATTAGTTTTTAAAATAAAAAAACTAATTAATTTGTTTATCGAAATAAAAAGAACTAATTTATAATTTACTCTTCAGTCAAGAGTGAAATATTACAAAAATATTTACTAAAAAAAAAAAAAATACAGAGTACAAAATTATTTCTTCTTAGGTTCGGCTGTTTTTTCCCTTTGGTTTTCCATAGGTTCGGCTGTTTTTTCCCTTTGGTTTTCCATATTCTAAAAAAGGCCAATAGTCATTTTCAATTAATCAAATGATCACAAACTTAACTAAAAATGATTATCATTATTAATTTCATAAATGACAGAGGTGTTCTTATATCTTCCTCATCCTTTCCTTTTCGGAGTCTCGGTGTCTTTTCAAGAGCAAACGTGACATTTGAACGTGCTATTTGGTGGCGTTGATTCAAGTGATTTGCCCCAAATTTAATATCTCAAGTTTAAATAAAAACGAATTTCTCCAAAATACATCAATTTCCGTGTGAGTGGCCAACCAAAAACTCCTCGTGTCACCCCATAATTAAGGTTTATGAAACATTAATTACAGGTACTTATTAATGTTAGAGTAATCATTTTAAAATTATTTTTTTCAACATAAATAGTATTTTTATTCAATGAAATAACAATTTTAATCCAGGAGTATTTTAATCGAATGAAATGTTTCAATACAGTTTATATATTAATTTATAGTGTTTTTGTAGCTTTTCATTCATATATATATATATATATATACATTCACTACTCATATAACTCTTTTTCATATCACAATTTATACCAATGTGAGTGAGTCAAAGAGCACCTCTTTGTAGTGGGTGATTTTGTTATAACCCTGGTAATGTCATGATCTATTAATGTTAGGTAAAAATTCTAAATCCATCCGTATGTTTCTGTTAATTAATGAACATGATGATCATATTTTTAATGGAGCATGAGAGTATATGAATCCATCTTTACCCTTATTTTCTCAAACATTATCACCATATTTACGAAATCAGTCAAATAAATTGTTGAGTTCGATATGGGTGGAGAATCCCACGTCGGTTAGAAATACATAAAGAGTGCCAAGAAACTCTTGAGAAGAACTAAAAGGAAAGACTTTTTTATGAAGATTCTGGTTAGCCCAACACAATTTTGAACCGCAATCTCCAGGACGAATACTCTTCTGAAGTATATTTAAAACCAATGGCATAAAAAGCCTATTTCTAGCACAATTAATGAACTTGATTTGAAAAAAAAACTAGTACACACATATTCAATAAATTATTGCAATCGCAAACAGTATTAATGATCCATAAATTTTTGAGGGAGAAAAATCCCACAAATCCTGGCATCTTTTGAAGATCAACCTGAAGAGCTACTTCGCTTTCTCTTGATCTCATAAAGTTTATCTGGCAGCCACCTCCAACCGTAGAAAAGCAAGAAAAACGAGCAGTAGTAGACATAATGCGAGAGCACTCCTTCAAGAATTAGGGTGATAGATGGTGGAAGAAGCCATTGAAGATAAAGCAATGTTTGAGCAAAGAAAAACAAGACCCCCACCACAATAATGATGATTGCGAACACCCCATAATTGGATCCACCTAATGCTATGCTCACGGCAAAAAAGAATGCCAAGCACATCATGTAAATAGATCCACCAACCATTAAGGATGAAAACCAAACTGCAAATGGTGCAAACTTGACATCATTCAGGTTTGTCCAAAGAAGGATTATAGCTGCCACCACAGAGGTATTTAAAGCCCACACATCAAGGCATAAATAACCATCCAGAAGAGATGAACCAGTGGGACTGTCAAAGGCAGTGGTATTATGAGGGACAGTGCTATTAAAGTCATGATGATGTTCATTTGAGCTATTGGTACTCTTTAATTGTGGCAATTGTATAGCACCAGCAAAGGTTACACCAGCAACAAGCACTGCTACCACTAGAAGATTCTCTATCCTACTCTTTGTTTCCTCTTTCCTTGGTGGCTTGCCTTGAGTACTACTGAAACGCTGCTGTAGAGATTTCTTTGGGTGGGTATGGAAGTATAAAATCGATAGTGTTGTCATCTGCAAAACAGGGGAAAAAAGTTGATGGTTTTAAACCAAGACACTGAAGAAGCCATCCTTTTTCTTTCTTAAAGTCCATCTAGTCTCAAGCTCTTCCGGAAACCAAAAGACCAAAGATTAGGGATGTCAAGAAAAAAAAGAAAAAGAAAGAAGAAAAGCAATAATACCGCTCCATAATAATCTGGCAGTTTGTAATCCTTTGAGGATGCCTTTTTTGTTTCTGGCTTCCTTAGATCAACTGCTTTGTCCTGTCTCAGAAAAAAAATAATAATAATAAAAAAAATCATGAAGATTAATTGCAGAAGAGATAATTGTTCAAATTACATGACATCATTATACTCATGAGTTTAATTGAGTAAATAAAAAAACCATTCAACTCAAAAGTTTAAGCGGTTAGGTGAATCCTACCAATATGGTTTTATATTATTCTATAACAGAGTATACCATCTCATATCTTTTCAAGTCCTGAATTTCAGTCAGCGAGTTGCTTTATTGTTTCCATTATTTCATTACATGTTCCTTTATTATGAAATCTATTATATCCTTGTTTGTAACAAATAATATATTCAAAATGTAAGCAAAGGAAATAACAAGAGAAATCTGATATATACCTCGGTCCCATTTGAATCAAACTCCTTTCGTTCCTCAGCAAGCTGGCAATAAAGAGGAAGCACAGATATCAAAATATTAAATGAATTATACTCTTAAAATATATTCTTTTGTAGCACTTGATAAATGATGATTAACTAGCATACATACCTTTTCTTCTGTTTTTTCATATTGCGCTACGGCTATTTTGGATTGTCGATGAGCGACATCATATGGTGTCAAATCTTCAGTGTTTACAATTGAAGGATCAACGCGGTTGTCACGCACAAGAACAAATGCAGCTGTGGACCGGCCGTGCTGTGTTGCCAAATGCAAAGGTGTATTTCCATCCACATCCATCTCATTTAGCAGAGGGTCGATGAGCTTCGGATCCCGTTTGAGTATGTACCTAACCAAATTGCCTTGTCCATTTTCTGCAGCTACATGAAGGATGTTCTGACCTTTTTTATTGAGGAATTCTTTCGGATATGGGAAAATTTTCAGAAATTCCTTTAGGATATCAACAGAGTCATTTTTGCAGGCAAGATGGATAGGATAGTTTCCTTCCTGGTTGACTTCATTTGCACTGCCACAAAACTTCTGCAATAGGAATTGAACTCCTTCCAGAAAACCTATGGATGATGCATAATGGAGTGAATTTCCCAACTCTTTGTCTTGGAGACGAAATAGCTCTGGCTTTGCCGATTCAATTTTCTTCAATATAACTGAAAATCAAAAGAAATGTTTCTCAAATGTATGTAAAGATGATAGGTTTGCAAGATTTCTTTAAATCATTTTCTGATGAGTGTAGACATTGTGATCACCTATGCTACGTTGCACGATGGCAGCATGAACAGGAGACTTTCCATCTGGTAGAGTGCCAAGGGATTCACCATCTTCTCTTTTTATGGGCATCGAAGCTTCCGTATTCAAGAGAACATCCAGTATCCCATTCTCCTTGCTATTCTCAACAGCCAGATACAAAGGAGACTGGCCCGTGTTGTTGTTGTAATAGGCCACATCTGGTTCTTTGTTAACTAGCCATACGACAACTTCTTTATGACCCATGATCACTGCATCATGCAAAGGAGTGTTCCCTTTTTTATTTGTCTTCTTCATCAAACTCGGATTCAATTGCACAAGAGATTTAGCTGTAGGACTAACCCTTCCTTCTCTGGCAGCAACATGAAGGAATGTGTCCTCCTGGCTGTTTTGGCTGGTGATTAGAGAAGGAAACTCTTTAGCCAAATAATTTGCAATTTTGTCACTTCCATAGCTTACAGCTACATGAAGTAGTGAATTCCCAGAGGGAGTCACTAGCTTCTCTGCTGAATATTTCTCAAGACATCTTTGAAAGGGCACAATGCTGTCCTGCTTCAAATATTCATATAACAAAGGTTCAATTATTTCATTTGTCTCATGAGACATAGCTATAGGTATTGCTACATGAGACATAGCTATAGGTATTTCTACATGAGACATAGCGGGAGAAAAAAATAAGCTGTACAAATTGGAGCTGGACTTCTATTTGAATAGACCAGAGTGCATTTCAATAGAATCTAAAGTGATGTGGAGGTTACTTTGATTTCACTCGCATGGAAATACTTTGAGTACTCAAATACTTCACCTATTTGTTCTGCGAAGCCAAGACATAATAACAGAGAAAGCGAATGACCATGGATAAAGCAGCATCTAGGACAAGAAAAGGAAGAGAGAAAAATGTTCCATAAAAGCCTAGGTGATTGTCCTTATTCTTAACTTAAATATATATAACTCATATATACAAAGTGCAATTGGGCCAATATTCCTGAATTCAAGAAACATGATGCACAATGGCATGAGATTGTGCCTTAGGTTTCTACCAGCAGAAAACACTCGATCCAAGATTTTAAATTGTTCATGGGAAAATCAGGCGAAGATTTTATTTTATTTTCTCTAATACATCCAAATTAACTAAAACTTCTTTAGGCTTGAAAAAAATCTAGCACTACATTGTGTTAAAACTCTAATTTAATTAGCTGAAAGAATGAACTTATAATCTTTAATTTTTTTTTTTTTTTTTTTTTTTTTAATGAAAAAAAGATTAATGGCCCGTCAATTTATTCTTTTATAACTTGTTTCTTGGAACGTTTATTATTTAACTAATATATACATTTTTTTTCTAATTTCAAGTAGATTGTGACAATTATTTTAAAATAAATAAATATAAATGTTTATTAAATAAGCATCTTTTATTTTCAAATAATTTTATATAAATTTTGATAATTATAACTAAATTTTAACTGTACTAATTACAAGTTTGATAAATATATTGAATTATCTTTCAAATTCTAAATAATTATATTTTTTATAAATAAATATTATTCTTAAAATTATAGTTACTAAAATATATTCACCCAACATTATATTATTATGTATCCTTTTTTTTAAAAAAAAAACATTTCTTGCCAATTATACGTGACATGAATTAAATTTTATATAATTTATTTTTATTTTATTTTATTTTATTTTTTTGTAAATCTTGCCTTTTTTAACATTCAGTGTTTGTCCAAATGAGTAAAAGATAAACTAAAATAATAACAAAAATTAGCCCATGTTAAATTAGTCAAAGGGTTAAATTTATTACTTCAAAGAATTTTGATGTCATTTAATTATATTTTACGTTTAATATTTTATGCTTTTTATTGGCATGTTTTAAAGTCATTTAGTAATAGTTAGGATAAATAAATATAACTCTTCAAAATCATAATTGTTAAAAATTTTTCACTTTACAATATTATGAACCTTTTTATTGTTAAAAAGCTCTTTTCAATTATTTATGGGACTTGATTTAAAATTTTATAAATAATTTTTAAATAAATTTTGCATATTTGAATATTATTAGTATTTTTCCAAAAGATTAAATTAATAACATAAGACAATAACAAAAAATAACCTATAAAAAAATTAACTAAGGATAAAATTTATTAACTTGATGAATTTTGACATAACTTAATTATTTTCGAGTTTTAATACTTTATATTTTTTTATTGCGCTTTTTTTTTCAAAGAGTTTTGATTGTAAAAATAAAGTATCAATATAGAGAAACTATTTAGGTTTCGTTTACTTTTCATTCTTGAATTTAAAAACTGACAGATATACAAGAAATTCTAAAAATATGCATGGATGTGCAAAGGAGGCCAGCTTCACTTTGGTGCAGCTGCAGCATTGATACCATGAGGACAATAATTAGAAGAAAGGGACTTGCTAGGAAAGAGATTCTTGAAGTTCTTATAGAGAAACTATTTAGCTCTCTTTTACTTTTCTCTCTTTTTTCTCATCAAAGCTTCCCCTCTGAGTAGTTCTTTTTCACAGTACTTTATTCTTTCTGCATCTTTCTTTTCTTTTATGTGATTTTAATCTAACTTGTAACTAGAAATTGTGATGAACGTGCAACACATTGGCATCCAAGATGGAGTGAACAGGTTAACGTTTTTTAATAATTCTTCTTTTATATCAAGCTTTGTATTTGATTTTGTTTGAACAAGGTTCTTCTCATCATTAATCTAATCTCCGACAACTATTGTTTATTTTGCCAAGCTCTGGCACTTTCAGTATAGAATTGAACACATCTTTTGTGTATTGGAACATTGAGTATGGGATTTATTATGATAGAAGTATATGACTTCCATCATAAATTAACTACATATAAATTCACAGTTCAAAGAATTTCTGATTCTTCAGAAACACCCACCCACCATAGGAAGAATCTTTTTCAACATTTGTGGGTTTGGTTTCTTGAAGTAAATCTGCATCTCATTTCTTGAAGTAAAAACTTGTTGTGGTCAAGAGTCCCAATACAATAAATCCCCCTGTTTGGGATTATTATGTAAGTATTGATGCCATAGTTTGCTGATTTGTTGAAGAAAAAAAATTGGAAAATCCAAAACTTTAACGATTAATACCCTCACATAAGCTTATATAATAAACCAAATTTCCAATATGTTCATAAATTCAAAAACACCTCTAATATATTTCTATTATTTGAGATGATTTATAATGTATCCTCTTAATTAATTTTTTTAACCAAATTAAGTGTGATTTGCACATGGTATATGATTTGACAAAAATTATTTAGCACAAGTGATCTATATCTATTAATATAAATATTAATTTTTGATGAATTGGCTGAAAATTTTGGCAAAAAAAAAAAAAAAAAGATTAGAAACCAACTCAAATAACATGGACATATTATAGGCATTTTTAGATTTAGAGACAAATTGAAACTTTAGCCTTTATATAATTGGTGAGGGCATTAGCCCAAAATTTAAAGAGAAGAATGGAAAATTTTGAGAGGTCATCTAGGGTAGTTTTATAATTTCTCTAATTTTTTTTTATTTTTTATTTTTACATGAAAAATTTATTTAACATGTCATGTCAAGTGAATTTTTTATGCTAGCTATCAATTTTGATCAAAAAGTTGACCAAAAAACAATTGAAGTGACCATATTAAGAAAAATTTAAGAATGAAAGGAGGTGGAAAAAAAAAAAAACAAGGGCTAGATTTTAAAAATTAGAAAAATAAAGGGATATTTTATGCAATTAATCCTTAGAAGCACATTACAATCTTGCATGTTTTTTTTTTTTTAAATTGATACTTGAAATTTAATTTTTTTTAGTACATCAATTTTTTCAAAGCTTTTAATCAAGTATTTTTTTTTTTTTGATTATTTTGTTAGTCGATGATATGTTCGAATACGGAATTATAATCTAACAAAAAACTTTTCCTCAAATTATTTTATCATTTCAAAATTTGATAAAAAAATTAAAAATATTGATTAAAAATATTTTTTTTTTAGTTATAAAATTCAAAACTAAACTCAATTAGATTTATCGTTAAAAAAAAAAAAAAAACTCAATTATGCTTAGAGTCAAAATTGAAGAAAAACACAAATAAATATTCTTGCTACTTCAGGTTTCATGCTCAAAATCTTACATTTGTGTTTTCTTAACTTAAATATAACTCATTTATACTCAGTGTAGTTGGGCCAATATTCCTGCATTCAAGAAACATGATGTACAATGGCATGAGATTGAGCCTTAGGTTTCTACCAGAAAACACTAGATCCAAGATTTTAAATTGTTCATGGGAAAACCCGGCGAAGATTTTATGTTATTTTCTCTGATACTTCCAAAATAACTAAAAGTTCTTTTAAGTTCGAAACCTAAACAAAACCTAGCACTACATTGTGTTAGAATTCTAATTTAATTAGCTGAAAGAATAAACTTAAAATCTTTAATTACAAGCATTTTTTCATGGAAAAAAAAATTTAATGACTCAATTTATTCTTATATAACAAGTTTCTTGGCACGTTTATTATTTAACTAGTTTATAACAATTTTTTTCTAGTTTCTAGAAGATTGTGAGAATTATTTTTAAATAATAAATTTAAATAATTATCAAATAAACATGTTTGATTTTCAAATAATTTTATATAAATTTTCATAATTATTACTAAATTATTTTTTAATCCTAGTTAATTAAAAGTTTGATAAATAAATTGAATTCTCTTTCAAATTCTAATAATTAATAGTTGTGATAAATACATATTATTATTAAAAATAATAGTTACTAAAATATATTCACCGTACATTATATTATTATGTATCTTAAGGAAAAAAAAAACATTGCTTGTCAATTGTACGTGACATCAATAAAATTTCATATTTCATCTTCTACTAAATTTTGCTTCTATTTTTTTATTTTTATTTTTTATTTTTAATATTATCAGTGTATGTCCAAATGAGTAAAAGATAAGGTAAGATAAAGACCAAAAATAGCCTATAAAAAATTAGCAAAGGATCAAATTTATTACTTTGATGAATTTTGATGTCATTTAATTATCTTTTTAATTTTATGCTTTTTATTGGCATGTTTTAAAGTCGATCATCTTAGTAACAGTTAGGATATATATATATATATATATTTCAAAATCATAATTACTAAAAATTTATCACTTAACATTATATTTGTCATAACCTAATTTTTCCTTTAAAGGAAAAAAAAGAATAATAAAAAAAACAAAAAAGGAAAAAATATAAAATCATTCAAAGATCTGTTCAAGTCTTCCACAAATCTTTTTTAATTAGAATCTTCTTATTTTTAGCTAGAAAAATCTCAAATTAAGATTTGATAATTAAAATTTGAATTTGAATTGATTTTGGGAGAGATTTTAGGAGGTTTCGGCTTATAAAAAGCTTTCGGATTTCAATTTGTAGGAAAAAAAAATAAGAGAGGAGGGAGGAAGGATTCGAGGTGGAGAGGGATTGAAAATCGAAAGCAAAAGGCTTAATTTTTTTTATTTTTTAGTCATTGTATTTTTTTTGGGTTTCGTTATTCGTTGTCTTGGTGTGTTCATCGGCTAAGATTGCTTCCCGTTATCCACGAC